GTAAAACATATTTGAGCAAAAGATTTTTTTAACGAAATAAACTGCAAAAAAACCTTTAGTATTTAATACAGTACATGGAAGACGACGTTCAAAACTATTTCTATTCAATTCCAGATTTTTCTAGTGCTCACTGTATGAAAACTAGTTTTGAAACCTGGATTTCACTATTGGGATTAGGCAGTTTTCTCTGTATCAATATTTTTGTTATGAAATATTATTTTATTTAGTTTCTTCATGTTCTCCAGTTTTTTCCTTAAATCAAAATCTCACAAGTGTTAAGACACCAAAAGAAAACTGGTGAGTTTTGTTCTTTTTTAAGTTCAGGCTCTGCATAATGGAAGCAATGTAAACAAGTTCAGGCACTGCACACTGGGAGCATGTAAACAAGTTCAGGCACTGCACACTGGGAGCATGTAAACAAATATCAGGCACTGCACACTGGAAGCAATGTAAACAAACTCAGGCTCTGCACACTGGAAGCAATTTAAACAAACTCAGGCTCTGCACACTGGGAGCAATGTAAACAACCTCAGGCTCTGCACACTGGGAGCAATGTAAACAAACTCAGGCTCTGCACACTGGAAGCAATTGAAACAAACTCAGGCTCTGCACACTGGGAGCAATAAAAAGACTCAGGCTCTCCACACTGGGAGCAATGTAACAAACTCATGCTCTCCACACTGGGAGCAATGTAAAAACTCAGGCTCTTCACTTGGGGAGCAATTTGAACAAACTCAGGCTCTGTACACTAGGAGCAATGTAAGCAAATTCAGGCTCTGTACACTGGGAGGAATGTAATCTTACTCAGGCTCTGCACACTGGGAGCAATGTGAACAAACTCAGGCTCTGCACACTGGGAGTAATGTAAACAAACTCAGGCTCTCCACACTGGGAGCAATGTAAACAAACTCAGGCTCTGCACACTGGGAGCAATGTATAAAAATTCAGGATCTGCACACTGGAAAGCTGCCGTGCCATTTTCAAAATGTGGTCTGCTATGTGGTCTGCTATGTGGTCTGCCATGTGGTCTGCTTTTTTTGTACTTTGACAATTACAGAAGATATTATAATGATTTCATTCAGAATTAATTTCATTGTTTAATATAATAAATTTAAATCTAAACAAATTTCTTAATATCTCTGGTCATTTTGAAAGCAAAAATAAAATACCACATTTTAGAAAGAACAGGACCAGGGCTATTTTGTGAACTTTATTTTCTTTTAAATTCTGAAATATTTTCAAAATTAGGTTTCCCAATATGCCAATATGCCGGAAACTATTTCTGAGATCAAAGACGGGAAGTCTTCAAATCAATTAATATTAGTTCCGGTTTATTTAGAACAACACTTTAAGAAAATTAAATTTTTCATGTTCCTGAATATTAAGTTCTGTGGAACATTTCAGCAAAATAGGATTTTGTCATTTTAGGAATGAACCCTTAATCTTTAGAAGTTTATACTTAAAAACTTTAATTTAGACAATAGTTTCATAAATAATCAGTTTCAAAATATATAAAAATAATAACTGTGGAAATTTGAATGTGTTGCGTGTTAACCACAAAGGGTGAGAATGTAAAGACGACCGAAAACTCTTGAAATGTGAAGATCCTAAGGTTAATTTATGTATTCTGTCTGAGATAAAGTAACTTAATGGCTTATTTAATTATTTGGCAAAGAAACTAACTAGTTTGCAATCGCAGGGAATCGTGAATATAAGGAAACAGACGGTACAATCGTCTCTGAAGTCTCATCCTTTGTGAGTAACCCCAGGCGCACAACTAGGGGGGGGAAGGCCCCCCCTAGCTTGATTAAGGGGGTGATGCATACCCGTCCCTTAAGAAGGCTTGCCCCTCCCCTGTAAGTATTTTTAGATATTTTCACTTATTATGATATTGCCCTAATCTGTAGTACAACTTTTCAATTATCATTTTTTGTATTTTATATCAGATTGGTTGGGCGCCTGAGTAACCCTGTACCTAAAATAACAAAGATACATTGAAACATAAGCTGAGATATTTTCTAATGGAGGGGTGGTGATTATTTTGGTGTGATATTATTGGGATGGGAAATAAAATCCTTAAAATATTATCCTGAAAAAATGTAAGTTAAATATTTTCAATTATCAGTGTTTTTCAATATCATTCCGTTTTAGTTAGGAAGCTATGGGTTCCACCCCCCCCCCTTGTTGTGCCTCTGTAAGACTTTAATACAATATAATACAATGACAGGCATAAAATACAGGTTGGGGTCACAGAGTTCGCACAGTGAACATTGGCCTTACAGTGATGAATCATTTTATACATTATATATACAGATTTACAACATATGTATTTTATTTTTATCAGTCAGTCAGTCGAGCTGTGAGTGTGAGGTTTTGACAGAGATCAGATTTAATAAATAGCGAGTCTGAGCAGCGTTACCAACCCTTGGGATTTAAATTTTAAAAGGATTGATTAAAAATCTTATAAACTTTATTTTTTTTTCTAGAAATATAGGCTCTTAAATGTCACAGCACAAAATTATTAAAAATTAGATGCTATTTTTGGAGATTTTTCGGAGTAAAAAAAGAAAGTTACAGATTTTAGGAGATTTTTCATCCTACTTTAGGGGATTTCTTAGCTGACAAGAATGATCTGACTGTCAAGTCTCAATGTTTAAAATAGAATAAAGAGTTAAAAATATAATCTAAATATATGTAACGGCAAAATTACCCTCAATGCATTTGGAGGGATTATTAATGTAATTTTTCTATTTGCACAGTGGCATGTCTGATTCACAACGTTATGTTTTAATCTTTTCCATAATTAAGGATGAATTAGATATCCTTTTTAAGCTGAACTGTATGTGCGTTCAAGAAATATTTCACTGATTTGACATCATGTGAAAGGACTGTACAGTGTACAGTTTAATTTATAGTGTACAGTGTACTCTACAGTGTGCAGTGTACAGTTAAATTTACAGTGTACTGTATAGTGTACAGTATACTGTACACTGTACACTGTACTGTACAGTGTAAAGTGTACTATACAGTGTACAGTGTACTGAACAGTGTACAGTGTACTGTACAGTGTACAGTGTAAGTAAAAGTGTATTAGCAATGTAAAGCAAAATGCCAAGGGGTTGCAACACTTCAAAATTGACCAAGTCTTAAAGAAAATATGCATGATTGTCACAGGAGAGGAATGGTGACAAAAATAATCAAATAAGAATTTTCTGTATTAACACTACTCAATTTATAAATTGTAAAAACAGGGACTGTAAGTGTAATTTCAATGTTTCTAGGTTTAAACGTGTTCAATTCTATATAAAAGTTTCTAAATGTTTCTGCAGTAGAAATGCAAAACTATTTAACAAGTCATTTTTTTTAGAGAAATCACAATTGAAATAGATCCGTTTTCAGAGTTATGAACATTGATATCTAATTCATACAATTGATGAGGAAAAATAATCAAGGGCAATGCTCTGAAACGGGCATTGCCAAATAGATTATCAAGTACAATAGGTGGCAACAGAGAAATGGACCAATTTTACACGACGTCACAAGTGTCAAATATAACAAGAAAAACAAAATTTTCTTACATTAGTTGACATGTTTTTCAAGATTAAATAAAAAAGTTTAAAAACAGAAAATAAAGAATACATTTAATTGCACTTATTTCACTGTAAGATAAGCCCTTTATTATAAAACTATCACTATTATTAATAACTTTGTCGGACGCCAAAACTGAATTGACACTTGTGACGTCAGAGAACAGCTGTACTGAGAGTGTAACGTTGCCATCTATTGTACTAGAATCTATTTGGCATCTTTGCATGCTCGGTCTCTTTAAGTTCTCCTGAACAGTACAATGAGTCTCAGAACAATGTTTTTAATATTTGTGACAGAAACAATCTCAAGAACTGACGAGGGTCAACCCAGACCGAAATATATTTTCAATAAATGTGGAACTAACATCTACTTTTTTTTACTCTACAGAGGTTTGGTCCATCACCATCACCGATTTAAAAAAAAAAAGAATATTCTTTTGGTTATTTCCTTTGCTACGATAGTTCTGCAGAATACGAAACATTTCCAGTCCTTTAAAGGACTGTAAGGGACTGTAATGGACTGTAAGGGACTGTAAGGGACTGAAAGGAAAAATGAAAGGGGGTATAGGCTGGAACCTGAGAATTTCAGGCGCTGATCGAGGCATAGAGTTCTATCTGATGTTCCTGTCTCGATAATAGATTTATACCAATTTATACCAAAACGTATAAATGTAAGATTTTGTATAAGATTCGCAATCAATCTGAAAACAAGGCTATCCCAGAGGAGCCTGAGAAACTCAAGTTTGTTCCTATTATTATTTGAATTTATTAATTTTTCATTTTAAGTAGATATAATTAATAATATTAAGCGCCCGGAACATGTCACCAGAACTCCAACCAATGACAGTGCAGTATTATTGTCACGTGTCTTCGTCTGTATCATGTGACCGTATACTGCACTGCCATTGGAGGGAGTTCTGGTCACGTGAAACGGAACTATATCTTACATATTTACGTTTTGGTATAATTTTGACACAGTTTTATGTCAATTTTCCGAGACAGAAACATCAGATAAATGTCTTATAGGTATCGTTCAACTCCTGAGATTCTCAGGTTTCAGCCTATACCCCCTTGAATTTTTCCTTTACAGTCCCTTTCATAAGTTGAGTGTATCATATAATATCTTAAACCCAGAGTAGAAATACGCATAGTTTTTGTAAATGAACGAAATTTTTCATGAATGATGGTGTCGTTCATGAAAAAAATGATCAACTTGGATTGAATTTAGGGTAATGAAAAAACTATCATATAAAAAAGAACAGTATAAAATCCTTCAAACAATTTTGATCGTTTATGAACGATTTCTGAATCCTTCACTCGAACCCGTTTTCCAAAAGATTTAAAAAAAGCTTTTCTTTTTACTAAGCTACCGATTTTTTTTCAGTTGTCAGCAGGGGGAAATATTAAAAATGTAGTTTTTCAGAATTTCACAATATTTTTATAATGAACAACGGACATGAACTTTTACCAACATTAGTTTCTAGTGAGGTATGGAATTTAAAACTTACTTTTAAGGGGTTAGGAAGCATTAGGAAGACTAAATTGGGGGCACAGGACAAATTAAGGATGCACAGAACAAAATAGGGAACACAGGACAAATTAAGGATGCACATAGGGAACACAGGACAAATTAAGGATGCACAGAACAAAATAGGGAACACAGGACAAATTAAGGATGCACAGAACAAAATAGGGAACACAGGACAAATTAAGGATGCACAGAACAAAATAGGGAACACAGAACAAATTAAGGATGCACAGAACAAAATAGGGAACACAGGACAAACTAAGGATGCACAGAACAAATTAGGGAGCACAGGACAAATTAGGGACTATAAAGTATGAACAAATTTGGGAGTACAAGACACAAGAGAGAGCACAAGAAAAACTTAAGGATGCACAGAACAAAATAGGGAGCACGGGACAAAAAAAGGATGCACAGAGCAAATAAGGGAGCATATGACAAATAAAGGATGCACAGGAATAATTATGGACAATAAAGTATGAGAAATGCTTGAGAGCACAAGACACATTAGAGAGCACAGGACAACTTAGATAGCACAGGATGGCACAGGACAACTTAGTGAGCACAGGACAACTTAGAGAGCACAGGACAACTTAGAGATCACAGGACAGTTTAGAGATCACAGGACAACTTAGTGAGCACAGGACAACTTAGAGAGCACAGGACAACTTAGAGAGCACAGGACAGCTTAGAGATCACAGGACAACTTAGTAAGCACAGGGCAACTTAGATATCACATGACAACTTAGAGAGCACAGGATAACTTAGAGAGCACAGGACAACTTAGTAAGCACAGGGCAACTTAGATATCACATGACAACTTAGAGAGCACATGATAACTTAGAGAGCACAGGATAACTTAGAGAGCACAGGATAACTTAGAGAGCACAGGACAACTTAGATATCACAGGACAACTTAGATAGCACAGGACAACTTAGTAAGCACAGGACAGCTCAGTGAGAGGACAGCTTAGTGAGAGGACAGCTTAGAGAGGAAGACAGGACAAGTTAGGAAGCACTGGATAATTTAAGGAGCAAAGGAAAAAATAGAAATCATAACAGAAATTAGGGAGCACAGAGCAATTAAGGAGCACAGAGCAACTAGGGAGCACAGGACAATTAGGAAGTAAGAGAGAAATGATAAATATTGTATTTCTTATAAAATGATGAAAAATTAAATCATTTTAATTGCCTCCAGTTTAAGGAGGACCTGACATCATACCATTGCAGGTGTCATATCAATAGGAATTGAACATTTGGCTCATTTTGTCGAATCAACTTACAGGGTTACCACAAAGGATGAGACTTCAGAGACGATTGTACGGAATTTGTCTAACCTGTTCCTTGTATTCAGGGTTCCTTATTATATAGGCCAAAACTGGCTTATTTTTGTGCTTAATCATTTAGTAAGCCATCAAAATTTAAAATACTTCATTAATTATAGAAATCAAAAATCAAGCTTAAATTGTCATATTTATAGAGTTTTGGGTCGTCTTTACAGTCTCATCCTTTGTGGGTAACCCTGTACTTCTCCATTATCCAATATTGAATGTACCTACGTCAACATCTCCTTACGAGGAATTTGATTACAGAGTGTTTCTCTGTATATGCAAAAAAATTGAACATTTCTGGTTGGTTATTTCGTTAAACATAAGATTAAAAGAATTTCATCTCAATTTCTGTCTAACGATTTTCTAAAAAAGAATGACATGGCAAAAAAACAATGTATGTAACCTGTAGGAATGCTGTGCAACTGTATGAGAGCGATTCTGGAATTATTGAGAAAAAATATGGATTAAAAAAAGATACTTTTCTCCATATAGCAGCTAGTTATAACAGGTGGGATAAAAGTACAATTGTAAATTTACAATTTTTTATTTTTTCATTAACTTAATTACTATCCATAAGATTTTATGTAAAGATTAGGGGATGGGGGGGGCGGGTATATGTTTTTATTTATCAAAATTAACCATTCAAACTTTTACTAAATAGGTTTATCTTTGAATAATAAATAGGAACCCTGAAAGGGGGTTTTTACGAAAATTAAAGGGGTTTCAGAAATGCCAATGGTTCTAATACCTATATTTATTCTATCCGATTTTTCTGCAAAGAGTATTTGTCAAATACATTTTTAACAGGCTATAAAGGAACTGAATTCATGCCATATATTTTCTAATTCCCATACCTCTGCAACCTGATGGTGTACACCTTTGATCTTTCGAACTTGGATCGATTATTTGTTCTACCAGAATGCATAGTTTAAAATTTCTAAGGTCTACGACATTGGGTTGCAAAGATATAGGAATTAGAAAATCAGAGTTTGTTGCAAAAACTCAATTTTTTGCGTAACAGTTGTAGGCGTAAAATGTAATTCAAATTGACCGTCCCTTTAAACTGACCGTCCCTTTAAACTAACCGGCACTTTAAACTTACCGTCCCTTTAAACTTACCGTCCCTTTAAACTGACCATCCCTTTAAACTGACCATCCCTTTAAACTTAACGTCCCTTTAAACTTACCGTTCCTTTAAACTGACCATCCCTTTAAACTGACGTCCCTTCAAACTGACCATCCCTAAAAGACTGACGTCCCTTTAAACTGACCATCCCTTTAAACTAAGCGTCCCTCTAAACTGGCGTGCCTTTAAACTGACCATCCCTTTAAACTGACGTCCCTTCAAACTAACCTTCCCTTTAAACTAACCGTCCCTTTAAACTAACCGTCCCTCTAAACTGGCGTGCCTTTAAACTGACCATCCCTTTAAACTGACGTCTCTTTAAACTAACCTTCCCTTTAAACTAACCGTCCCTTTAAACTAACCGTCCCTTTAAACTAACCGTCCCTCTAAACTGGCGTGCCTTTAAACTGACGTCGCTTTAAACTAACCTTCCCTTTGAACTAACCGTCCCTCTAAACTGACGTCCCTTTAAACTGACCATCCCTTTAAACTGACCGTCCCTCTAAACTAACCGTCCCTCTAAACTGGCGTTCCTTTAAACTGACCATCCCTTTAAACTGACGTCCCTTTAAACTAACCATCCCTTTAAACTAACTGTCCCTCTAAACTGACGTCCCTTTAAACTGACCATCCCTTTAAACTGACCGTCCCTTTAAACTAACCGTCCCTTTAAACTAATCGTCCCTCTAAACTGACGTCCCTTTAAACTAACCATCCCTTTAAACTAACTGTCCCTCTAAACTGACGTCCCTTTAAACTGACCATCCCTTTAAACTGACCGTCCCTTTAAACTAACCGTCCCTTTAAACTAATCGTCCCTCTACACTGACGTCCCTTTAAACTAACCATCCCTTTAAACTAACTGTCCCTCTAAACTGACGTCCCTTTAAACTGACCATCCCTTTAAACTGACCGTCCCTTTAAACTAACCGTCCCTTTAAACTAATCGTCCCTCTAAACTGACGTCCCTTTAAACTGACCATCCCTTTAAACTGACCGTCCCTTTAAACTAACCGTCCCTTTAAACTAACCGTCCCTCTAAACTGGCGTGCCTTTAAACTGACCATCCCTTTAAACTGACATCCCTTTAAACTAACGGTCCCTTTAACCTAATCGTCCCTCTACACTGACGTGCCATTAAACTGACCATCCCTTTAAACTTACTGTCCCTTTAAGCTGGCCGTCCCCTTACACTTACCGTCCCTTTAAACTGACTGTCCCTTTAAACTAACCGTCCCAAACTGACCGCCCCTTTAAAAAAACGTGGCATGTCCAATTCACAATGATACCCTTTAGACCTCTATCTAAGTTCTAAAGGTTTAAAGGGTACCGCATTGCGAATCGGACATACCACTCTGTAAATAGAGGTTACTTCAAAATTTCGTGAATAGTCTCTTTAACTTTGTTCCCTCCCTGTACTCCTGTACGCCTGCACTCCTCTACTCCTGTACTCCTGTACTCCTGTACTCTATTTTTTCCATATCTAGGTCCTCGATTGTACAGTTCCTTCTGTCTAAAGGAGCAGTTCAGTGTAAAGATGCAAACGGGAATACACCTCTACACATTGCTTGTATCAGGTTCAGTAATCTACAGGGTGTCTCACGAAACATGAAAGTTGGTAAATAGTTTTAAATGTCTTCTTTCATAAATTGTTTAGTTGTTTGATACCAAAGAGAATGATAAAAAAAATATATGTTAGTCATATTATAGTAAAATTTATTTCAAAGTAAAATATATTTGCGTAAAAAGAATTTATTATCGAAAATAAACTGCAAAAATTGTTTAATAGCTATTATAGCATATAGAAGAAGGCAATTAAAACTATTTACCAACTGTCATGTTTCGTGGGACACCCTGTATCACGTCATATTGAAGTAAATTTAAATTTTTATGTTTTAATATTCTCTCCTTTAATTAAAGGGCTATTTACAAGAAAAAAATGTTTTCAACTTCAAACATGTTTCCGAAAAAAATGGGGTTTTCTCATACTTAAAATTAAAACTGTAAGAGATACGAAGTCACAAATTCGCACAAGTAATATTTCATAAATTTTACCTCCTCAAACTGGAATTTGCAGCTGAATACAAGCTGGGTTTAATAATTAAACTTACAGTCCTTTAATGTTAAAATTGTTTAGTGGAGATGAAGCAACTATTTCTTTACTTCTGGATAAATCAGCTTGTGCAGTACACAACCTAGATGGGTATCTACCTATCCATATAGCAGCTGCAGCAGGAAATATAACAGCAGTCAGGTAGATATGTACACTAGCTTGTACAGTACACAACACATTCATATGGTTTATTGCAGTTGAAATACGCAATTTACTTTTGTAGAGAAACTACATTTAAAATAATCAGATTTCAAAATTATAAACATGGAGATCTAATTCTAGCTTGATCAGACAAAGCTTTTAAGGGTACCGTTATACTCGGACATTCTCATTTTTGCATGGAGGCGGAGGGTCACTTGAAATGACGCTTACAGCCCCTTTAAAAAATGTGAAATGTGGACTCATGGAGCACCTCTTAAAAAGTTTGTTTAAAACAAACTCAAAGTTCAACCTCGGATCAATCATTAATAAATATTTTCTTTATAAATCAAAATTTGCATATGTTGTGTTTTCTAGGATGTTGGCAGATTATGGTGTATGTTGCAGTACCCCCTCTTGGCTTGGTGAAACCCCTTTACATGCAGCAGCACAGTTTGCACAAACTCATGTTATTCAGTTCCTTCTAAACCAGGGGGTTCAGGTATACCGAGTAGCTCTTATTAAACCAGAGCTGGGAACTTTTGAATGATGGATATCGGGATTAATGCTTGATCCACTCTTATTCTTAATCTCGAAACTGGGGTTTATATCAGTAACCTAAGCCCGTAACTAAAGACATGGTATCGGCATGTGAAACCTAGGATTGGAGTGCGGCTAAGGAAGCACTACGTGTGAGCGCATGGCTGCAAGTCTATGTTTGTGAGTAAATTGCGGGATGAAATCTATACGGGTGCGGCTTGCCTTCCCCCCCTCGGTGAAACTTTATTGTTGAACATGAAGAAGAAAAGGACCTGAAATTAAATTGGCCGCAGTCACTTAACTTTAAATAAAAATATATTTGAGAAATAATTTTTCTTAAAAGCGAAATATTTCTTTTCATATTTTTTTTTCAGGTTGCAGACAGGGAACACTTCAATTCTTTAATTCTTTTGAATATATATATAATTCTTTTGAATATATAATTCTTTTGAATATTTGCGACAAAGAAAAGAATTTGATTGTTAATATTCTGGTTAATTCTCAAAGTTTAAAGTACTTTGTAAACCATCCGCTCTTTATATCATAGAATTGGGTTTCAGGATTATCCACTATAAGGATGAGACTGTAAAGACGACCTGGAACTATAGAAAATGACGATTTCTAGGTTAAATTAAATCTTTTTAGGGCTTATATAATGATTAGGCAAAGAATTAATCCTATTTACAGTCTTTTAAGTCTCATCCTCATCCTTAACAACATTATTCACATTTTAATATCATTGATCGATGGTGATCAGAAATCAACAAGTCGTCCCTCGATCATGTTTACTTAAACAGACCTTGTATATCTTTAACCATGTGTTTTGAAATGTCACAATAAAGTAAACATTAGCTTTNAAATACAAAACATATATCTAGGTTTTTCTCGCTCATCTCTTTTAGATCTTACAATTCTTCTATGGTTCTAAACTAGCTAGAACATGCCGTGGTCACACTGCATCATACTTCTTATTGTTTGTTTTACTAATCTTTTTTCACAAATTAATGGGACTGTCCTTGTATTTTAAAGGGATCCATGTTGTAAATGATAACCTTTAAACCTTGATCTGATTAAGGATATGGTAGATATCGTAGTTTACCTTTAGCTAAAATATGTTTAAAATTCCAAGTCACAACCGAAAATAACCAGATTGTCAAAGAGAAATCATCAATAACTCATTCATTTTTATTATACAACATTTCCAAGGTACCGTTTGGTGAATCAGACATGCCAATCTAAAAATGGGGGGGGGGTCATGAAATGACGTTACAGTCCCTTTAAAGCGTAACACTATAATTTTTCTGATGGTCGTCGTTGTTTTTTTAAATAAAGACATTGATGTGAATCGTGAAGAAATAATTCTGGCGAGACACCTCTACATCTGGCTGCAGGGAGTAAAGCTGAAGACACAAGTCATATTCAGATACTTCTTGATGCAGGAGCATATATAGGTATAACGATGAAATGAAATAATAATAATAACAGTTATAATTCATATTGAAATAGCTGAAAGAGAAGCAAAAATAAAAAAATATAATTTTGAAAAACTTTTAGAACTTTAATATTTCAGATTGTCGAACCGGAAATGGTTCTCCCGCCCTCTTTTACGCAGCTGAAACCGGAACTCCGGATTCGTTTAAACTTCTCTTAGATCTCGGCTCACCAGTAAGGTGGGTATGTTACGACCTATGAAGGGCCAGGCCAGGATATCTCTGAAACCTTATGTTTTATCAAACGTTTTATTTATTTTATTTATTAAATTTAGGGGGGAGATATTTCTGTTCCACATATTTATCTGATGCCTGTATCAAATATTTAAAACTATGGATAAAAATTGACCATTTCAGACTTTTTTCATTTTTTTCTGTTTTCGTCCAAACCTTTTTAATTTTTTCTTTTTCTTTTTTAACATATTTTTGTCAATGGTGCAGAAAAGTGACGAAACAAGGCGATCTTTACGAGGAGGAAACTAAGGGAGAAACTTTGTTACGGAAAGGTAAAAACAAAAACAAAAAATATTTTTGAAAACAATTTTACGAAAAAAAACTATTTTTACTCTTTTGACAATTTTTAAATTGCTGCCCTAGATTTCCCGATTGGGGCACTTATTTATTACAAATGCTCAAATTTATCTTGTACCATTTTCTTTAGTAAAATTAAAAACAAAATTTCAATTTTCTGCAAGCATATTTGAGCACATAACATTTAACTTTCTAAAATCATGTCATCAAGTTCAGGTGCAGTAAATAAGCACCTTTTTACATAATAGTTCTAACCTCAAGATTAATCTTAATCCCTCGTGTTTAAGTTCTTAAATCTGGATGTAAAGAGAAGGGAAAACTATTGATTGAGCGGATTATGAAAGCCAGGATTAAATGCAACGAAGCTCTGAACCCAGGTTAGTAAATTAGGGGAAGGTTGTATGTCATTTCTCTCCATAAACTGCCGCTGCACAACTGTCATAGCTTTATTTGATCAAGAGTTCATGTTTTATCTATCAAATTCTTTTTCAAAAATTTATCGTTTTTTATTGTTGTTTCTCTATAAACGAATTTGATTTGATTTTATTTCTTTTTATTTTATTTTATTTTATTTTATTTGGTTTGGTTTGATTTGATTTGATTTGATTTGATTTGGTTTGGTTTGACATGATTTGATTTGATTAGATTTTATTTTATTTGGTTTTATTTGATTTGATTTGATTTGATTTGATTTTGTTTGGTTTGGTTTGATTTGATTTGATTTGATTAGGTTTGGCTTGATTTGATTTGATTTGATTTGATTTGATTTGATTAGGTTTGGTTTGGTTTGATTTTATTTGATTTGATTTGGTTTGATTTGGGTTGATTTGGGGTCAGTTTTGGTTAACTTGCGTTGATTTGGATTGATTTTGGTCAATTTTGGTTGATTTTGGTTAATTTTGGTTGATTTTGGTTGATTTTGGTTTGATTTGGGTTGATTTTGCTATAATCTCTAAATCTGTCAATCTGATGTAAATCTCTGAGATAATTAGACTGTTGGATTTAACAGAACCAGGCCCGTAGCCAGGATTTTCTTAAAAGGGGTGTATAGAGAGGTGTTGTTTTATAGACCGAGTGAAACGTAATTGCAGGGGGGGCAGAGTTTGAGGCAAGTGTTGAACAATGAATTCCTTAATTTTCAAGAAAAAGGCAAAAAATAAAAATAAAAAACTAATTCAGATGATCTATGCCGCGGAAGGAAAGCCTGCCTCACAAAGAGAAATGTAACAACTCAAGAAATGGCTCTAAGGTTATTCATAAGTTTTAAAAATTCTAAAATCTCGACAAAAATGTTTTATATATTTTTATTCTCCACTGGGGTCTGAATGAGCCACTGAACCTCCTACGTCTATGACCAAAGAAAATAAACTGTTATATAAATAAAATAGATATATATATTTTTATTTCAAGTTTTTGTAAATAATTCTCTTATTAATTTTAGAAAGTTTAAATATTCGTCAAAAATACTTTAAATAATTATTGCAACAGTTAAAAATTAAAAAAATTATGAAACTATGAAACATAAAAATATAGAAAATGCTGAAGAAGTTTTTTTTATAACTTTTATGATTTAGCTCTATGTGCACAGAGATCACCGACGATATAGAAGACCCTGATTCCATTTTCAGAAATCTCATTCAAGCTAATTCATCTATTCTAGGTATTTATTAATATCAAATATAATTGGTTGTTATAATGATTCACCTTAATTCAGAAAGTTTACTGGTCTGCTAGATATAATTGGTTGTTATTTCTAAACATAATTATTAAAATAATGATTCAGCTTAATTCAGAGAGTTTACTGGTCTGCTAGATATAATTGGTTGTTATTTCTAAACATAACTATTAAAATAATGATTCACCTTAATTCAGAGAGTTTGTTGGACAGTTGCTTGGTTTGCGACCAAAATAGGTATATCATAACTTAGGGGGCGGTCACCATCCATTAGCTCCTTCAATGAAGGGGGGGGGCGCCCTCCCAACATATTGCAAAAGAAAATACAAAGTAAAAAACTAAAACAGTGAAGAGGAGGGGGGGTGGACATCAACATTCCTGCTTGATACTTTTTACCCAAAAACTCATCTTTCTTCCTTTAAGACATATTTAACGTATGGGGAAAAATATTTTTCTAAACGGGGGGGGGAATATTTATTTAAGTAAATATATACCACTGTAATGATGAAAATGCCATGGTTTTAGATTTTAAAAAATTCTTTGTTGTCTTATTTTATCTAGAATTTCACACATTCCACNATATTTCTATATATCTGTCTTGAATCCTAGTATTCATATTTCTATATATCTGTCTTGAATCCTAGTATTCATATTTCTATATATCTGTCTTGAATCCTAGTATTCATATTTCTATATATCTGTCTTGAATCCTAGTATTCATATTTCTATATATCTGTCTTGAATCCTAGTATTCATATTTCTATATATCTGTCTTGAATCCTAGTATTCATATTTCTATATATCTGTCTTGAATCCTAGTATTCATATTTCTATATATCTGTCTTGAATCCTAGTATTCATATTTCTATATATCTGTCTTGAATCCTAGTATTCATATTTCTATATATCTGTCTTGAATCCTAGTATTCATATTTCTATATATCTGTCTTGAATCCTAGTATTCATATTTCTATATATCTGTCTTGAATCCTAGTATTCATATTTCTATATATCTGTCTTGAATCCTAGTATTCATATTTCTATATATCTGTCTTGAATCCTAGTATTCATATTTCTATATATCTATCTTGAATCCTAGTATTCATATTTCTATATATCTGTCTTGAATCCTAGTATTCATATTTCTATATATCTATCTTGAATCCTAGTATTCATATTTCTATATATCTATCTTTCCATAACCTCAAATCTAAATATCCATTTACCCAAGGAGAATTGAATAGAAGTAGGGGGCGATAGGGTTTCCGTACACTTTGCTGTGACGTTTTTGGACTGCTGAAGAACTAGTTTTTGCGTAACAACAATAACAAAGGCAGCCGATCTAATGTAAACAAACATGAATTAGTATAAGGTGAATCTTCATCTTAGGCCAAAGATGCGCCAGATGTCTATTTATCATTTGTGTTATTGTTACAATCTTTATTATTATTGTTACGCAAAAACTAGTTCTTCAGCAGTTCAAAAACGTCACAGCAAAGTGTGCGGAAACCCTATCGCCCCCTCCTTCTATTCAATTCTCCTTGCATTTACTTATGTATATTGTAATGTATATATCTAGCTAGAATTGTTTATATATCCAATATATCATTTATCCATACACTAATAAACCTGTTCTTTCATTTTTTATACCTATCCATTTTATATCTACACTTTCACAGATCAATATTTCGATCCTTCAATCGATCTTTTATCCAATCTTCAATACATATATTTCAGTTCTTAAAATTATTATTCAAATTATTTACATTTTATTCGAAAAGAATTATACTAAACATAATGTTTCACGTCACATCACGATCTTCATGATTCTTTGAACTATTAAACATTTCTAAAAGACTTATTGATTTTTTTTAAATATAAGATGATATTTTTTATTTTAGAACTGTTATTAGAGACTGGTCAAGTATCACTTTTTGAACACCCCTTGCTGGAGACTTACATTGAGCTCAAGTGGATTAAGGGAAAAAATACAAAAAAAGCTTTCAAAAGAATTGTTAAGAAAAAGAGTTTTTGTTTCAAAATTTAGAAAAAATATATCTTAAAGATTTGAGCATTATTTCAGAAAAAAAACTTTTTTGGAGTAAAGTATTTTTTCCAAATTCAGGCCTGGAAAATATTTTTATTTTTCATGATGATCTTCAGCTTTCATATGGCCACCCTTTTTGGCTTGGTTCTCGTAGGAAAAAAAAAAATATTCTGTATCATGTTTTAAAAATTTATTCTAACGAAAAAAATGTCCAATCTCTTGAGATACAATAATAAAAGTACTTAAAGGGGCTGTAAGCGTAATTTCAAGTGACCCTCCGTGTAAAGATGGCAATCCCTGATTTGCANTATCTCTAATTGGATAATGAGATAGTAGAAAGATAGATGTTACCGCCATACTATTTCTATTGGTTCAGAATAGACAACGAACACATGACTGAACTCTGATTGGATCAGGCGCTAGTGGACTCGGCATACAGGAGTGAACCTGTAATGTTGTTTCTCTTTCTGGTCGAGCCAGCCGTTTTCACGTGTAAACAAACAAACAAACAGACAAACAAACATATACAAATTAATTTCAACCCCCCTCCCCCTTCTTTCTAATATCCCATGCTTGAAATATAATATATTAATGAAGTACAATATATGTCTTCATAGATTTAGAATTGTTCATAGAGTAATATCAAAATCAAAATTTGGAGTAATTATGTAAACTCAATAATTAATCAAAAACTTTCATGGTTGAATTAAAATTCCATTATACATGTAGGGTTGTTTATCGTTTTGAAAACGATTGTTAAACAATCGTTTTTTGTTTCGTTTTTCAATCGTTTTGAACTTTTAGAAAACGAATAACGATCGTTTTAGAAAACAATCGTTTTTAAAAAAATGAAAACGTTAACATCCCTAATTAAATTTTTATGTTTTTATGTTTATTAAGATTCCTTATTTGGGTTTTAATCGATCTTTTTTGTACTAGCTTTTGGATTCAAGCTCTGTACAATTTTTGCTTTTAGCTTTTATTAGATTAAGTCAATTCTAGCTGAAAATTTTTAGTTCATGGTAGAATTTCTATTTAGAGGCTCTAAGAGTAGATATTCCTACAAGAATATCGCTGAGGTTATGGACAGGTTTGCTCTAGGTAAAATATACAGTGGTCATTATAATAACGTGGAATTTCTTTGATACTCGATATTTTTTAGCCAAAATATCAAATGCCAAATGATCAAAAATCTTTAAATGATCTTTAAGTGTACGCTAAACAGTTAGGACAAGTATTTTTTTCAAAAATATCACAATTTTACGATAAAGTTAATTTTAAAGTTAAAGGTATTCTTAAACATATTTCTATGATAAAACGTCTGTAAAATGCAAGCTCTCTCTTTCACGCAATCTTTTTTCTTCTTTCTCTTCTCTTCTTTATTCTTTTCTTCTTTTCTTCTCCTTTCTTCTTTTTTTCTTCTGTTTTGTCTTATATTTTCTTTTCTTCTCTTCTCTACTCTTCTGTTCTCTTATCTCTTTTCTTCTCTTCCCTTGTCTCTTATCGTCTCCTCTTTGTTTTCTCTTTGTTGACATTTAACCGGTTTTGAGATGATCCGTTGTTATGATTATTCTCTGATTTGTTTACATTTCTAGCTTGTAGACCTAATTGAAACGTACTGCGTTTTACTCCATAATAAGGCATTTGATATTTTGATATGTTTTGTAAAAATTAAATTAGATTTTATCTAAACATTTTATCCAGCTAAAGTTGCAGACAAAAACTAATCAAATCTGTGGGATTCATTCCAGAAATTTTTTTTAAAATTTTTTCCTTATTTAACTTTTCCTTGGAAGTTAGAATTTTTTAATTAAATAAACCTTTTGATGATCTTCTAAACATAATTAATTAAGGTAATCCTAGGTTTATGAAAGTTAATATATTTTTTATAACATTCTTAATTGAATTTTTTTGTCTTTTATTCATGAAAAAATATGAGTTTTTGCCACAAACTCAAATTATTTAATCCCTATATCTTTGCAACCTGATGTCCTAGACCTAGGATATTTCAAACTATGAAGTCTGTTACATCACATTACCATAAGTTTGAAATATTAAATATCAGTTTGCAAAGATATAGGGATTAAAAACTTGAGTTTGTGGCGAAAACTCAGTTTCTTTAATTATTTTTTTTCAGTAAAAGAACTGATCATACCAGTTCTAGGATTCGTTACTATTTTTACATCTTCTAAAGAAGTTTCCAGTGTTCTTATACTCATCAGGCACAAAATATAAACATTAAGAAATAATAATTTGCATTTCAGTCATCGTCGTATATATCAATACAATGAAGACGACTTTCGATTTAAACTTTTTGTTTCTACTAAGCTTCCAAACAGCATGGATACACATAAACATGGAAACCCAATAAAGCTGTCAATTAACAGCTTCTCTTTGTTTACTTGTAAACTTGTAATTTGAAAAAAGCTAGCAAGAAATAAAAACTGAAATAGAAAATTTGTCTTCCTTATATTGATATAAACGCCGACCAATGTACCTATACCATACCACCATATACGCAGCTAGAGCCTAAAAGCGGTAAACGGTAAACGTTAAGCGGTAAAGTACACAAAACTATTAGTCCCTTTTTAAGTAGATTAATGTGTTATTGTGGTGTACTCTTTTTAAGTTGTTAATTTTTACAGGGTTTTAGTTTTGTTGATTTTTACAGTGCAATTCTTTTAGTTACACAAATAGGTTTTAAAACATTTGATTTTTAAATTGTTTTTTTTAATTTTGAAAAATTTAACCGTGTTTTTTAATTTGACAGTGGTATTCTTAATTTTGCTAATTTCTACAGCCCTCTTAATTTTTGGTATTTTCAAAGTGCTTTTTAATATTTTTTAGTGTTTTTAATTTTGTACATTTCTACAGTGCTTATCAGTTTATGATGAATATGTCACGGATTCCCAGGTTAGTTTCTTGTAACTTATTCATTTTTAGAAAAAGAGAATAGAATATACATTAGAGTGGAATTTACTCGAAAAAAGTGTAAAACGGCTATTTTGTTGTACTGTTTCCATACTGCAGGTGTACTTCACATATTTGTGTTATATAACCTGGAACATCATTTTATAGAAAAGTTTTCTTGAAAATTATTTGATTTTCTCTAAATTATTTCTCTGATAGCCTGTCATGCACACGTCGATAGAAATTAATCTAATATTTTTTTTTCATTAAAAAAATATTCCTATAATTGTAGCCTTCAGGTAATCAAAGAGAGAAACCCAGTATTTTAGAAATATTCAAGATATCAAAATATGATCCAACTATTTTTACACCAAAATTGAGGATGGTCATAAACTTAATATTTTAAATTCATTTTATACAGTTGGACCCATAAAACTCTGGAAGAGAAGGTCGAAATTTAAATCTGTTTCATGTTTGATGGGTTAGTTAAACTTGTAGCTTGAGTCTAAACACAGTTAAACAAACTGTTATACCTTGTGTACCCGTAAAGATCAACGACTATTTAATTCACAAGATTCTGGTGCTCCCTAAAATGTGAAGGACCATTTATGAAAAAAAACACTGCCGACACTGTTTAACTGTAGAGTTTGGAAGAAATTTTAGAGACAACTGACAGTACAGAATTAGTTTAGTCTTTCTCTTTACATTAATCTCCGTATGCTCGTTATTACAAATCACTGAATGAATCATTATAGCAGGTAACATATTTAGGCCTAAATCAGATTATCAAAATTTTTGCAAATGTTATGCTGAAAGAGTTTCAGGTCTTCATTAAAGTATCATCCTTTTGCGGGTAACCCGGTAATGTAGAATAATTGCAAATTAAAAAACAAGTAGAAAACAAAACTTTATTACTTTTAATTTAACATTTTATTTTACAGAAAACATTACTGGTTATTTTGTAAAATAAGTTTCGACAGCTTTGAACGTATTTTTTTTTTTCATTTTGTAATTTTGCATGATGTTTCATACGAATACATGTATAACAGGATATCACCTGCTTCGTGAGTTCATATGCATGATTGTCCATTGTCTTAAAGCAATTTCCATGGACACTAACATAATTGGTGATTATTTTTAAAATAAGATAGTCAACATAATACTTTTTGTTTAGCCAATTTTTTTCGTTCAGTTCAATTTCAATAATTTTTTCTAAAGTTTCAGTTATTTTTAACACAAATATGTGAGAACATTTCCGATATCTCTGGTTTTTGTTAACGTAATTGATTCAGGCTAGTTGATTTTATTTTCGTAATATTTGTTTAACCACGAATCCTGATACGTACTCGACTACATTTGTTTTATATTCTGTAAAGGTTACATTTTTTATATCATCAACAGTGACATCATCAAAATTATAAAAATCGCAAATATTATTAATTTTATCTTGGACAGATGGAAGGAGGGCTACAAATTCAGAATTATCTAGAATTAATACATTTGCATTGTTCCAGGTGATCTTGTGATAATTTGTATGTTAATAAATAAGTTAAGGAACCATTTACAACAGTTTCATTAAATATTTCTGTAACTGCTTCAATTTTACAAATAATTCCAAGAAACCCAGCTTTACGGGAATTGTAGTTCACTATATTTTTACCATCAAGACTTTGGACTTGGAGCCCAGAAATAAAGTTTTTGGTTCTTTCGACCACAGGGCTCCACATGTCTACATTAAGAGCACTTAAAGGAGACAGATACCCGTTATAAGTAGGATATCTACTGTTCAGGAGGTCAAAAATATTGTTCATGAAGTAGCAAAACTCTTCAGTTGCTTCAGAGCCGGCAAACTGAGGAAGTTTTAAAACTTCTCTGCAAAATTTAAGACTTCTTCCTACTCTTTGTGAAAGTACTTGCACGGCTAAATTAACTTTCATTATCTGATTTTTGAAAAAAATATGTTTGTATATGTCAACTTGTTTCCACTATGTAACTGTTCTTTACTTTGTAAGTTCTCAAGTTCTTTAATGTATTTCCAATCAATATTATTACCGTTGTTAGCATTCATTTAGATGAGCCCAAGCATTACAAACATTTTCAATGCAATGACACATATCATGGACAAAAATCTTTTCCTATGTGAATTGTGGGAAGTAAGAAAAAAGTGCACAAAAAAAGTAAATTAACCCTATCCAAATGGAAGAAGGGAGAGGGGTAGTAATAAACCTTAAATAAACTATTAACATGCAATTATCACACTCATACTATCAAAATTTNCCCCCCCCCGCCTTAGTATATCAAAGTAAGTCAGAGTAAATGACACGTTTTTTTAATTAAAGGCAACTAAGAAAAATTTAATGTTATTATAAATATTACAGTTGTTTGATTATATTAAGCTTTTAAACAGCATAGATACACATAAACATGGAAACAAAGAGAAGCTGTCGAATAAAAAAGGCCTCTTTTTGTTTACTTCTAAACTTGTAATTCGAAAAAACCTTGTAAACAATCAAATCTTTAATAAAAAGCCGTCTTCATTGTATAACTGTATGTTAATAGTGTGTTTTAGGCATTTTTATCTAAATTTTGTATTGATTAAAAAAGCATAATAATATTAGAAAAACACATTTGCGTGTAGATAAGAATCCGTGTACACAGAGCTTTAGCCAAGGGTGTGCAAAAAATGGATGAAAAAAGAAGAAAAAAGTTGCCCCTCCTTCCTCGTCCTTAAATTCATCTGAGTTTGTATAAAGTTTATTTTTTAGCCCACTGAAGTCCCAGTTAGAGGTCTATATATGTATTATAATGGCTTTTATTCTTACCTATGAAATGTAAGGTTTTTGAAACTGTTGTTTGATTTACAACCAATTACCGAACAATATCGTACCATTTTTCTGAAATTTTTTTCACAAAATGTGAAAATGACAAATTTTCAAATAGGAAAACTATTTGGGAATCAGAATATTCAATTCAAAAAATTTCTTCAATGAAATGTTTTAAAATAAAATCTAAAATTAATATTAAAAGAAAACCAAATTATGAAATAGGCTGGTTTCATAACTGACCAATGATCATTTTACATAGACTCTATGCCTTTCCCTTTACAAACGATGATTTTCCGTTATAACTATAAATCAAATGATGTTTTTTATTCACCTAATTCATCTTATAAAGTTTATTTAACAAATTTCATACCGAGGGATTGTCTTAATTTTACTCTAATATATATTCTATTCTCTTTGCTTTTAGATGATTTGACGGGAATGTACGCAATTTATTTGTAAATAATTTCATAATCTATTCACAACCATTTCCTTTTTTCAGATGTTGATGCTTCATTTTCTTAAGGACATTTTCTGAGATAGTTTTTCTAAATCCAGAAGTTGTCAATTTTTAGAGATGAAAACGAAAGAAATTGTTTGAGGCTTGATCTCCTCTTCTTCTCAATCTCCTGAGCTGAAAACTTTAGAATCTGAGTATCCAATGGGCACACTTTTGATTTTCTTCATAAACCGTTCTTTCTTGGATATAGAAGAGAAAAATAAAAACCGGTTTTTAAAACGAGAGAGAGTCCCTCCCGTTTCCGCATATTAATCTTAAATGGCGCGCAAAATTTCAAATTTATCAGCTTCATATACGCGACTCTGATTGGTTGAATTTTATACACTTTTCAGCCTTCAGGATACAACAAGTACAAGATTAGGTTAGTCTCGATATTAAGAAAAAGAGACGATCAAGCATTAATCTCAATATCCGCCATTCAGCTCAGATTAGATAACCGATCGGGATTAGGGATATCACATTTAAAAATTCCCAGCTCAGAGCTGAAAACTTCAGAATGAGGTATCCTTAATCCTGATCGCTTAATCTGAATATCCAATGTACACACTTTTGATTTTATTCTTAATCCTCTTTTTTGGATATCCCTACTGTATAAAAGTTACGTTTGATAACAATTACAGATACAATGCTATATCGATTGAACTAATATCCGATTGAATTAAAGTCAGCTGTTCACAAGCCGGCTCTTAGAGCATTTGCGCAAATATAAATTTAATCATGCTAATATGAACAGCTATTAAAAATATATTTTATCACATTTTAGGACTATCATCAATTTAAACGAGTCTTAACAAACATTAATCCAAAACTTGCATTTATTTAATCGATGTTTAGTTCAATTGATATGACACAATCAAAACCAGAAAAAAACCGGTTTTTCAAAAGTTAAAGAGTACATCTTAATACCAATACCATACGCCGATTGGTTGAATTTAATACTTCTTTTTTGGATATCGAATGCTTATTTAAATAATCTCGGGTTTAGTAAAACCAGGAGTTTAAGCATTAATCTTGACATCCATCATTCTAAAGTTTTCAGCACTGGAAGGATAAAAAAATTTATTTTCCATTTTCCGCAATTTTTGTATTGATAACAGCAAACGATAAAATAACCAAAATTGTAGATTTTAAAGTGATTTATTTATTTAGAGTTGGGAGTCACGTGTTTATTACCGGTCGTGTATTCACAACAATATTTGAATTTTTCTGTTCTTATATTGTTGTAATTCTTGGATATGCAGTTAGTTTCCATATTCTTCTGCCTGAAGGTAAATAATTCCTTTGTGGTTGTATACGATTATATCAATACAATGAAGACGATTTTTTAAAGCTTTGATTGTTTACAGTTGCTTTTTTCGAATTATAAGTAATTAAAGAGAAGCTTTCAAATCGACAGCTTGTTTTGGTTTTCACGTTTATGTGTATCCATGCTGTTAATAGCTTGATTTCAATTAAAATTGAAATTAAAAGTCGTCTTTATTGTATTTATATAAAAAAATTATTTATTTCTGAGAAAATCATGATAAAAAAACAATTTTAATGTCGTCATTAAGCTTTCACTGGTACACCCTGTACCTTCAGGTAATTCTAACGGCATTAGAGGGTTACCCACATAGGATCAGACTTCAGAGACGACTGTACGGAATTTGTACTGTTTGCTTCAGAGACGACTGTACGGAATTTGTACTGTTTGTTTCCTTATATTCATGATTCTCTGCAACTGTAAACTTGTTTCCCCCCCCCCCAGCCAAATTATAAAATAAGTCATTTTCAGATTAAGTTAAGGACAAAAGACTCAATTTAAACTTGGGATTGTCATTTTCGAATAGTTTCAAGTCGTCTTTGCTGTCTCATTTTTTGTGGGTAACTCTGCATCTGTTTGCATTCTTCTACTATACTACAGCATTTTTTTATCATTTCAGAAGTTGCTTTCAGTAACTTGGGAGACAGCTTTATAAAGGTCAGTGTGTTTAATTTAGATTCTTTTTTTACAATCTAAATACCTTCTTAAAATTCCTTACCCAGCCCAATTATTAAAGTAATGGGGAAGCTCATAAGTAATTAATAATATTAAAAATGAATAATATAACGATGAAAAATTAAGTAGAATGACTAGATTCATTTAGGTCTTGACCATGCTTTTGGGAGAGTTCGATTACGTTGATCATATTGCCAGTACAGAATCAGGTATCATATTGCCAGTACAGAATTAGGTATCATATTGCCAGTACAGAATCAGGAATCATATTGCCAGTACAGAATCAGGTATCATATTACCAGTACAGAATCAGGTATCATATTGCCAGTACAGAATTAGGTATTGTATTGCAGGTACAGAATCAGGTATCACATTGCCAGTACAGAATCAGGTATCATATTGCCAGTACAGAATCAGGTATCATATTGCCAGTACAGAATCAGGAATCATATTGCCAGTACAGAATCAAGTATCATATTTCCAATACAGAATCAGATATCATATTGCCAGTACAGGTATCACAACGATAGCTGTACAAATATATTTGATCTTCAATAAAAGAAGTAATGGTTGATAATATGTAAGATTTGAAACTACCGTGAAATTTACTTTATTTTGTTGTTAAAAATATTTGTTTATTAATAAAGCGTTTGTTTTTTACTTTCTTTCAAAATATAAAGTTGTTTTCAATCAAAACATATTTTAGGAAAAACAGAAATGAATATATTAGTGTTCCTCTGAACTGTAATCCCAAGTTTCAAACAAAAACAAACTTTAAGATCTCTCTTCAGTCTTCTTTCCCATATAATATCATGGATTTCGAAATTAATAAAATTAAAATTTGAAAATTTTGTCGAGTCCGAATTTAATGAATTTGAACCGCGTCTCAAATCCGCCAAAAACCGGTTTCAATTGAGCACCTTGAATACCTTGAAACATTGAACACATTTTTCACCGGAACCAACCATATTTAAGCCGCGTCTCAAATTTAAGCCACGGCTCAAATTCTTTAAATTCGGCCTCAGGAAACTAAAATAATCTTAAAGTTTAATTTTCTCTCTATAAATATGGCCTCAGAAATGTTTTCCATAATCTTATAAAGTTGTATATATGTTTTCCATAATCTGATAAAGTTGTATATATGGTTTCCATAATCTGATAAAGTTGTATATATGTTTTCCATAATCTGATAAAGTTGTATACATGGTTTCCATAATCTGATAAAGTTGTATATATGTTTTCCATAATCTGATAAAGTTGTATACATGGTTTCCATAATCTGATAAAGTTGTATATATGTTTTCCATAATCTGATAAAGTTGTATACATGGTTTCCATAATCTGATAAAGTTGTATATATGTTTTCCATAATCTGATAAAGTTGTATACATGGTTTCCATAATCTGATAAAGTTGTATATATGTTTTCCATAATCTGATAAAGTTGTATACATGGTTTCCATAATCTGATAAAGTTGTATATATGTTTTCCATAATCTGATAAAGTTNTACTTTTAAGTTTAGTTTTCTTTTAATAATGTTGTCTGCCTTACAAGTGTTTGAAAAAGTGCTATGTAGAGATATTTAACTATTTATAAATCAATAAATCAAATCAAAAATTTCTAAAGAATAAGTATATTCATAATTATACAGAGAAGTTAAATCTCATTTTGAAAAGGTTTTCAGTCTATTTTTCAACGATTATTACGGAGTTCCAGCGAAACATTCTTGATAAAAAAAAACATGTTTTTGTCACAATTAAGTTAATTGATTGTCAACAAAATTACCAAAACAAGATAAACATGTTTATTTTTAATATTTTCTTTTTTACAGATTGGTTGAGGAGTTGTGTCATTTTATGCACAAAGTTAACTGTCTTCGGTTTTTTAAAAGGTTTCTAACTTTTTTATTGTTTTGTGAAATGAAAGTTTAATCTAATCATAAATTGAAATATTCAAGATTCTCTTAAAATATGAAAGAACCAAATGTAAATAATTTTGTTTATTTGATTTTCTAAAAAAATTTAATTTTACTAGAATTTTACTTGCTAAGAAATTTGTAATTTCAAAATAAACATTATTAAACATTAAAATAGGAAAACTTTAACTCATTATTTCTCACAAAAGGATAAAGAGCATTTTAGATTATTTAAAGGGACTGTAGGCGTAATTTCATGTGGCCTCATTGCTTTGAATAAGATATTAAAAATTATAATTTGAAAAATGATAGATTTCAATTGTGGTTTTCTTCAAAAGTGACATACAGGAAAACATATAAAAATTATTAGAACGAAACACTTTTAAATCTAAAAACAGAAAAATCTTTCACGTTATAGATAGATGTTTCATAGGTACCGTTGTGAATCGGGCATTGCCATTTTGCAAGGAGGGTCACTTTAAATTACGCATTTAAGCGAAGATTGAATAAAATTAATTATTGTTAAATTAACAAAATTCTGAATTTTAGTAGAAGTCTGCCACAAACCTGTAAATTCACATGGGAGGCTTTCTTGGACTTAAAGGTGATTAATAAATTAAAAATATTCTTTTCATATTTCAAAGAACATCGTTTCTAATTTAATTGAATGTATATGAACGACGAAGTCTTAAGGCCTTCGTTGTAAAATCTTTAACAGTTTCAAGGAATCAATGATGAATATGCAAGATCTGAATGATCTCAATGTCTACACTTGACAACGAAAGTAGTTCAACTATTCATAAAACTTTCTCATTGAATCCGAATTTCAAAGATTAATCAATATTTATATAGAGTATAGGGTGTCCAAATATTGAATCCTCTGTGATCTGAGCTGAAAACTTTAGAATGAGATATCCCTTATCTCGATTTCTTAATCTGAGCATCCAATGGACACCCTTCTGATTTTCTTCTTAAACTGTTCTTTCTAGGATATAGTAGAGAAAAATCAAAAACCGGTTTTTTAAAATTAGAGAATTCCTTCCGTTTCTGTATATTATAATCTTAAATGGCGCGCAAAATTTCAAATTTATCGGTTTCATATACGTGACTCTGATTGGTTGAATTTTATACACTTTTTAGGATACAAGTACGAGATTAGGTTAGGCTTAATATTAAGAAAAAGAGAGGATCAAGCATTAATCTCGATATCAACCATTCTAAAGTTTTCAGCTCTGGACAGACAACAGGGCACTTTTTGGAACACGCAAAAAAACGTGCAAATACTTTTCCATAAATCCATTAAACTTTGGAAAAGAAAGTTGATTTAGATTTAAGTCATAATTTTAAAAAATCTGATGAATATGAAGCACAGCAATTTTTAACTGCATCTTGAATGTCGTCTTCTAAATCCATAATTTTTTGGGCCTCACTGTAACAACTCCTGGTCGTTCTCTTACTTTCGGAAATCAAAGAAAATTTTTACCTGGTCGTCCATAAATTCCCATGTTCAGTGGAACAACCTGTTTATATATATATATATAAATATATTTATCTACTCCCTATACACTCCCACCTACAGTTATAGA